AAAAAAAAAAAAAAAAAAATCAAGAAACAATTGTTAATATCTTCTACAAATAAGCAGTAAACCAATAAGATCTTAGAATAAAAATAATTTTTAGAGTTTTTTTCTTTTATCAATTATTGTAATTTAAATTAAATTTCTCTGTTATTCTCATTAGAATTTCTTCGTAAGAAATAAAAAATTTTTGACGATACTCCATATTGAAAAACAAAATTTTTATTATCTCGTCTATTTGGTAGTGTAAAATCTAAAAAATTTGCTTTAAAGTTTAGAAGGTAAGACGAGCTAGTCGCAATTTAAGTAAACGTATAAATGTTGAGTAAAATTATAAGAAAAAAAAATAATCCAAAAACTGTCTATTTATAATGTAATTCGTACGAATAGTAATGAAACTTTGGATTTACGCCCGTGTTCCTATTTAGAGTAATGACTAGACTTGGGCAATATTCTTTTATACAATTTTAAACAGCTGAAATATTTTATTTCAAATAAAATATTTGTCAAAGTATTTTATTTAAACTCCTATTTCAAGTATAACGATAAATACGATATTCATTGAGGTATTTGATTTAAATAAAGTATTTGAATAGGTTGAATTAAAATTGAAATAAAGTATTTCAACTCCGTCAAATACTGCCCATCTCTGGTAATAACGGCACGCGGTAAGTAAGGGTTGGGCAAAGAAAAACGCAATTCCGATGGACTTGGGAAAAAGAATCGCTAATACCACGAAAATAACCACCAGAGAAATACACACAGAGCCAATTTTTTTTTTTTTTTTTTTTTTTTGCGAAACATCCCATTTAACGGAATCGCTTCGTTTTGCTCCTTCCTCCTCTCCTCTTGCAGTCTCGAAAGTGCAAACGGCTCCGGCTCTCGTTTTAAAAGCTTTTCGAGAGATTACGAGCCGAGCTTCTCGTCTCGCTGTACTGAAACTCCAAAACGTTAATATTTCGCGGACAAACGATATGCTTTTCCCCCCCCCCCCTGTTTGTTTGTGCTTGCGTCCCCCGCTGTATTTTAATTTGGTTGATATGTACACTGTAAATAAAAATTTTGCAGAATCAAGAAAATACTTCGGGAGAATAGTTCCAAATGAATAATTGAGATTATATTTTCTTGATTTAAAATAAAAGGCCTTTAAAAAAAATAGCTGAATGAATTAGTAAGGATAAAATAAATTTCAATAGGTTTTTTTTTCTTTTTACTTAAAAATGTGTTTTTTGATTTTTTTTTTTTTTTTGGTGAAGTGAAAATAATATATAATTTATAAGAAGCAATTGGGTAAAAAGGTATTATTAAAAATATAATGCATGTAGGGTAGCAAATAATTTAATAAGAAAATATCAGTGTAATAAAGTGTCATCTTATTTTCAGACAATATTTTCTTAATAAATTGGGAGTTGACATTCATATTCAATCAGGGATAATAAAAAGAAAGCTATTTTTCAAAGGAATAAGTTTTTAATTTATCGATGTGCTTCTCGTAAAGTATTGAATTAAAAGTTTTCAAATTTTTGCTTCTACTTTGGATTAAATAAAAAAATATTAGTATTTATGTTACTCAAAGAAGTAAGTTTTTGGTAAAATACCTGTTGAAAACAACCACCCAATGAATGCTACGTTGGAAATTCACAACGGAAACCACAGTTCAAAACAAGCCAAATAATTTGAAAGTATCTCTTCAAGCCAAACAAATTAACCTCCAGTTTATGTAGATGAAAATTGTTTTAACCAATTTCTGGTACGTCCAATCCATCGGCTTCAAGAAATTCTCCTGGACTATTATTTTTATTTTTTCCTCAACGAGAAAACGGGCTTCTTTATTCGAGCGCTTCGTTGTTGTCGTCGCAATAATATTGATCCGTAATCCGATCCAACCCATTAAAAAACACAAAACTGCCAATCATCGAGTCGAGCTTACCTTTTTTTATCTACTGTCAAGTGAAATACCTGAATACCAATACCTTCCACGTATTTAAATCCCTTTTTTCACATGAAACACTTTTATTCGTACTTTCAATAATTTTCATACGTTGTTTTAAGAAAAAAACGCGCTTCTTATTTATTGTGCTGCATAAAAATGTAATGTGTGCTGCATATAGTAATTTATTGGGACATTGGTAAATTGTACATAAAGGCTATCGCAACAAATTAATTTCAAGCAAAACTCGAATTGGAGTAAAGATAAAAATGAAATCTTGAATTCAAATCTAAACAAATTTCAAGTTCTTACACGGGAATATTTCAGATTATGTTCGAGAATTTCAAAAACTGATCATGCAAAATTGCAAGTAATCTCAATGTTGGAACCAAAAGAATAAAAATGCCAATGTGTTGTTATTGTACACTAAGAGCAGCAAAATAAACAAAAAAACCTACCACCATGATTTTCGACATGTTTTAAATAACCCAATAAACAATAATAAAAATTGTCCCAATCATTTCACGCACAAACCATCACACGTTACCAAAAGGATGTGTCTAAAGGATGGAAATACCAAACTCTCCTCTTGGCAAAAATGACACCCATCTGCATCGGACAACAAAGTAAACGATCGGTAAACTCGACAAAAGCTGCCCAGACCCAAGAGAAAGATCGCACCCCTACACATACGTACACCAGCTACCCTGTAATCGTCATCCCTGGCGATTGGGTGCCTGTACTTTGCGCCACGAGAGTCCCTTCGAGGACCCAACGAACTGTTCGATCGGAAGTGCGCTCCAATTAGAGATAACAGCCCAGTGCTCCCTCTCTTCCACCGATACACACGGTAACTTTCGTCTTTTGACGCCACGCGACTCAAAAACAAAATCTTTGCGCTCGACACCTTTGTTTTTCCACCCATCAAAATAAAACTCAAAGTGGAAAGCGATTAATCAAATTAAAAAACAATTGGCTCGCAAAAACCTATACAGATAATACAAAAGAACAGAGTCATCTCGCACACGAGCCTTCAATCTCCGAGGAAAGCCGGGTAGTGTCGATTGGCGGGCATGACTGATGGACTCGCGTTTATTTATTGCGGGGCGCCAGACATACATCTGCCACGAAGTTATATGAATTCACCTCTGCGCGATTTTTCAAGCATTAACACAGCCTTCGCGCGCAATAAAGTGCGGAGTGTATGTATACACACACATCCGATTCTTCGGGAAGAATGAATCTGGGCGGGTAGAGACTCCTATACCTAATACCCTCGGCGACGATGGTAAGATTAAATGAAATTTATAGCCCGACTTTGCCCGGCCCCGATTCTTTCGCGCTGCCTCCGTACGGGTGGGGTATCTTTATGCTTCTTGGCATTGTTAAGGTATTCAAATCCGCGATGACCGATGCTCGGTCGGGTGGTATAAATTCTGTATCCTCGCGGGCTACGGGGACAGGAGGATCCACATTATTTTTCAAGTAACGACCTGAGGAATGGATTTTTGGAAACAGTGTGGCTTTTTTCCTTCATTTTGGCGAATAAAAGCGGTCAAAGAGAGTTATAGCGAGCGACACGTTCGGTGTTTTATGTTCTTATGGATTTTATTGCAGGTACACTGGTCGACGTACATATAGTCGTAAGGAATAAATTTAATACCTTGCGATTTGTTCGAAAATACTTAAAATCACACGTTCTTTAACGATACTTAATACCAAGTGAGTTTAACAAACTATTTTCCAGATTGACAGTTAAACACTAACATCTGTTGACTTTTAATAACAAGGACACACAATTTGTTGACTCAAGGTCAGCAAAAAAAAACAACTTTTTTTTCCAACAAATAAATTATAGTACAAAAGATGAACATCCTTGCCGTTAATCTACTTAAAAATACCGTTTAAAATGTGACTATTAAAAAGTATTATATCTTCACAGCTTCTTATCGAGTATAATCACCACGAACCGTAGACCTATTACCATTTGAATGTTGCTTCCTCGATTTGCCAGAGCATAATCGACACCTTTCTTTCGTAACATTTTCCCAACCACAGCTTGAACAAAATTTACCGATCGACGGTTCTGGGCATTCTGTGGAAAGGTGTTCAACACTACCACAATTGAAACATTTTTTGACGTCACGTAGGCGATTCTTGGCGTAGGTGAGTTTATCTAGGGTCGGAATATCAAGTTCGGAAAGAACGGCAGAAGGTTTTTGAACAGTATTAGGCGTGTTCGGATGAGCAGCAGAAGAAAGTGAGGTCGTTTTTTCCAAATTAGGCTCGTTTGAATTAGAAACGGAAAAAGAGATCACTTTTTGTTCGTCTGATATGTTTTGTTGGGCAGAAGGTTGTAATGATGTTGGATCGGGCGTTGTCTGGGGAATCGAAGAGTCAGATTGGCCGGTTTCTGAAAAGCTGTCGGATTTCCTCTCGGCTGCCATTTTCTTCAGTTTTGCAAACATTTTTGATGTTCTTCTTCGAGTATCAGATTCAGTTTTCGATTCGTTCTGCAACATATATTCGAAAATTTTTATTATGTATCATTTCAAAAGGTACTCTTAGTCAATTTTAATCCTACCTCAACTGTTTCCAATGTTTTGTTGGCTTGATGATTGCTGCCTGGTTTAAGGGCTTCGTGCTTATCTTTGCACAAATGTTGATTCTGTCCTCTAGGATTTTTACTAATCTGAGGAGACCCTGGATTCAATTTTTCTTTGGCTGGGGATTGACTGTACCCGCTTGTAGTCTAAAATTGATGAAATAAATATGTTAATTCACGTTTTTGATTCTTAGTGTACCTTAAAAGTTAAGATTGTTTTCAATTGAGTACAAGATACAACTAAAGAAAGAGTTCTCTACAAAATTGGCGAAAAGAAAAAAAATCGACAAAAAATCAATAAATACCGATGTAAAACTTTGATGTGATGCATATGAAACGCTTTCTTTAGTTGCACATAGTAATCCAGAATGAGAATATGTCACGATTAAAGGATCCATTAGCGATAAGGAGAGTGACTCTGTAGACGGTATTTGACAGTTAATAGGCCATATCTTATTCGACAACGACCACACCTAAGGTAAATCGTTTGATACTGTAGATTTTGAATTTCATAAAATCCATTTGCATAAAAAACATGTACCTGTGATTTTTCATTGACTTCTGATATTACATTCTTACAACGTTCATCAGTATTCAATGAATCATAGGATTTATTTTGTAAGTCTACAGACCCCACTTGCAAGTTCCTTTTTTCACTGACTTTTTTTGAAATCGATTGATTTGGCACTTGAACTTTTGATATTTGTTGCAACTTGTTAAACAGTATGGATGTACGCTTATTACTGTTCCAAATCTTACGATGAAAATAAAAACAGCAAAAAATCAAATTACACAGCACCTACAAAAAAAATTAAAAACAAGTACCTGATCCTCGAGTGTCACGCTGTCTTTGGCCTTTTGATCAGCATAAACATTACGACGGAGAACCAGTGATTCCAACTGACTTTTTACATCTTTAATCAATTCTCGCGCGGTATCGAGCGATACAGGCTCGTTTCTGTTTTCACACTCGCTGTTGCTTATGCTCCTTGGGGTCGATCTGTGGGAATCTCTGCTGCTTAAACTGACGTTCAATGGCTTTGGTCTTGTCAGCTTCTTTATTTCTCTGACACGTTTTTTCGGTTCTCTTCTGTTATCTGTTAAATCACAAGTTTAAATTATGCTTGATAATTAGTGTCATAAACGCGGGATAAGTGCTGTCATGTTGGTAAAAAGCATAATAATGTCAACAGGTGGGTCTAACCTACAAATAACGCACCTTTGTTTTTTCAAACCCTCTTAACTTGATTGACATTGTCAACTACAAAAGAGTAACTTTTTACTCAATCGAACATAAAATCAGCGACTGTATCAAGTGAAGAATGTCACTCCTACAGTTTAAAGGAAAAAAAAAAGCAATCAAAAGTGTGTACTCACCTGAACAGCCATTCACTCCCAAAGTGCCGCCGTTGAAACTAAAACCGTCACTTTCACTCATGTTGACAAACAGCCGAAGAAAATCACGTGTCTTTGTTTTAAAAAAAACACTTGTATTTAAGTTTCTCGAGGGAACTCTCAAATATAAACATAGAGCCGGTAACCTGTAGGGCAGGGGAGAGCCTTCACAAGCAAAACAAATATCGAGCAGTGTCCGCGTGTTTGTTTTTTTTTTTTTGTTAAATGCGCGCATTTAATTAATGGCGCGAAATTTCAATTGTTTTTTTTTTTTTTTTTTTTTTGTATAATTAAGTCATTAAAAAAAAGAGTTATTGTGTCGATCATTTAAAACTGACGTTATTTGTATTATAATCGGTAACGAAGTTTGAACGAATTATCGAATGGCTCGAGCATTATTATTTTGATATTCGAAAAGTTTTCGATGAAAGCTCTCTGGAAAACGATGAAAATTAATATCAATAAATTAAAATTCATGTCATCGATAATCGATGGCTAAATGCATCAAACGAGACGTACGTAGGTGGCGTTGTTAAATTGATTGAACTAACGCCCTAACGGTCGTTATCGCCAAAAATTAACGAGCGATAAATCGTACATGGCATGGAACTCATTTTAAACACGATCAACACAGCAGTCGTTAACTATGTTATATTATAATTAACGGTTACTGTGTTCTACTGTTTTTCGGTATTTTACACATACATGGATATTTAATTGGCAAAATGAAAAACAAATCATAGTAACACTACATAAGTATAAACAAATGAAATAATTATAAAATATTTAAACACGATTTATCAATAATAAATAATAATAATGAAAAAAAACATAAGCTTCAACACAAATACACATGTAAAATGTGTGTGAGGTCCATCCTCAGGGCACTGTCAGCGCTGTTTTTCCTGTAGATGTGTGAAATGTGCACAATAAAAAAAAATATCGCTATCAAAATCAACTTTTTCATCCCCCCGAGCAAGGTAATTTCACCGATTCTTCTCACCGTATACATAAGAAATGCTTTTAATTCATTAACTTGAAACATTTACTCTCCCCGGTTTTTTACACGATCTCGTCCCCCCTTTCCTTACGTATTTAATTGCTTTTGTCTTTAATATTATACCATATAGAGTGTAAACTCTGAATCCCCAATTACGCAACAGCTGGGGGTCCCGCGGCTTTGAATATTTGAGAGAATCTCGGCACCCCCAATCTCCCCCTTTTCACAGTGCAAACGATGTATTATAAATAGCATGGGAGCTTCTTCATCCCTCATTTTCAGACATTCTTTCCTTTCTTTTATATACATACTATACGAGCATGTAAGTGCGAGACCCCCCCTGGCCCCCCTTCAAAAAAAAGAAAGATGAAAATAAACGCTATGCAAAAATAAACACTTACCCGTTGTTCAAAATTTTTTCCAAATTGCAATCGTACGTTTGCCTTAATGTAAAAGCGGTATGTTTGATAAAAAGAGCCAAATCGATATTTTCTTCCTCGCTAGTGGGTATATAGTTATGTGCTGTATCGTATAAAGGCCGCTAGAGGTGTAATGGACGTTTGCTCGAGTCACGATGGAGCAAAAGAAAATAAATCGTGTACATCCATTAAAAATCCAAGCGCTCGCAAAGCGCAAACATAACATTCAATCGCGAGGCACATTAGTCTCTTTGAGCTTTAAAGGGGAAATAAGCTCGAAAGGAGGGGGGTAAAAAAAGGGTGGGGGGAAGGCGCGCGGGGGGGGGCGAATCGCCGAAATCCGTCAAAGGGAGACGCAATCAGCGCGAGACGCAAAGCTCAGCTGTTGGGTTGAAAGTAAATAATTCGCGCGAAACTCGCGTCCGGAGAGTAATTTTTCTTCCCGGGGAATCTCGGGCGCTCGTTTTTCTCCGACTCAGCGGGGGGGACTTGTAAATCAAGCTAAGCTGATTCGCGGCCTTGGGGTGCGTAGAGCTATGTGTCTATATGCTCGGGATGCGCTGATAAGGACGAAAGGTAATTGTATCGGGGGAAATGTTGATTGGGAAATCCTTTCTTTTTTTTTTTGTTCCCGAATTTTTTACAAAATTATTCACTTCACCGACTTACGTTTGATTGATCCTTTGTGTATTTTTGTTATTAATACAAATTTGTTGCCTTCAAAACTAAAACGTTCAAAAGTAATTTTATTTCTCAAACATTTACTACAATATGTAACAATTTTTATAGTCCAACATTTTCGTCCCACTATTGTTTAAAAAACGGAAAATCTTTCCTATCTTGTTAAACTGAATATTTATTAAACTGAAAGACTATTGGATTTTTATGCCGCATTTCGAAATTCCTAAGTGTAACTTTTTAATGGATCATTTTATCGATGCAATGTTACTTGAAAGCTGCATATACCCAATATTATCACAGTGAATTCATATCCAAGTACTTAATGATTGGCAAAATAATGTTTCCTTCTTATAAATATTCTTTATTTAAACCAATCAACGATTATTTATAAATGGGAGACCACAATAAGGTGACCGCAGGATCAACTATTAGTTGAGTATCGAGCAAGTACAGATTATTCAAATATCATTGAATTCCAACAGTACACCTCGTGTCCTTCGCTTCCGTAAAAAGTACACCACGTAAAAGAAGACAATCTTCCCGTTCGTGCTGAACCAAGAAAAAAAAAATCCCCTGCTCCTCTGTTACTCGACACTTATTTTCAAATCACCGTGTCCCACTCGTGCATCCCACAAACTCCCCCCCCCCCCCGAATTATTCGAACTCTCGAGGCGACAATAAGCTCGTCGTCCGATTTCACGCGAACCCGAGACTTTCGCCACCTCGGGTGTATAGTTTGTGCTCGCGACAAAAGGAAGTTTTTTGTATTTATTTTTTTTCCCAGATGAATCGCGAAAAGATGCGCAATGTCCCCTCTCGCGCTGGAGAGTCGAAAACTACCGGTCGAATGAAATTGACTCTTTCGGACTGCCGCGGTGTACACACACACACCCCTTACACCCCGGAGAACAAAGCGGCACTCAAGAGCGCAAGAAAAATACCAGGGAGCATCATTTTTCTTCCCGACGCCCAACCGCTGCTACCATTACTTCGCGCAACGCGCGTACAAGGGAAGTACACAGGTATACGAGAGCGACCCGGGCCAAAGGGGGGGCGAGAACAAGATTGATCGCCGTCGAATCGCCAGCCAACTGCGTACATATTTTTTTCTCTTTTTTTTTTTTTTTCTTCTTTCGTTCGCGCATCGTTTGTTGCACCGATGAGCTCGCGCCTCGTACCCTCAAGACTCTATCGACACTCGAAAACTCAATTGTGGCGGTTTTCCACGTGACTCGGGGTATCGTTATCTATACCGAATAGAAACAATGCCCGTACCTGGGGTATGATGGATGTAATCATATGAAAAAAAAAAAAAAAAAAAAAAATACAATACAATGTGTACTCACGTCGATGTGGACGCCACGCTGGGGGTATGTCTTGATGCGGGTGTCGGGCTCGTTGTCCGGCATGTAGCTGAAGAACTCGTACTCGTCCTTGTACCACTTGACGGAGTACAGGGTGCTGTTGTTGCGGGGCAGGCTCCAGGTGCACCTCAGCAGGACAGAGTGCCCGTACTCGGCGTCCCGTGGCACCTTCACGTTCACCCCGATTTTTTCTGCAAATCAGAGACCACAGTTTAACCCACTATAATATGTGTGCGTAGGGGGTGGGTTATGGTGCTAGTAGTATGACCCCGAGTTCGGTCGGACACGGCCAGTTTGGTGTATACGCGTGTAGGGAGTTGGGAATACCTTGTTTTCTTTCTCGGGCTATTTTAGTCGGTACGAGTTAAGTTGTTGGATCGACGTTTACGACCAGCCGAGGAGACATGACAGTACGTACATGGATTACGTTGGAACGGCACTTGGGTGTATAATTTTTTACCCACATGTATTTTCGGGGGCTATATGTACAAGAGGTAAAAAATAAGGATTTCCCGTTTGGGAAAACAAAAAAGCACTTCAACTATGGTAGAATCACTTTTTTCGAGGTAAGCCTTTCTTACCGGATATTTAGGGCTGCCGAGGGACGAGATTTCAGATAACCCCTCTTCGTGAAATAAGTCAGACTCAGTTAAATTATTATGTTAGGTTTTTGGAAATGAAAGCTCGGTCTCATAAAGTTACTGTAGATTATATTTCACGTGTGTAAACACAGGCATAATATCATTCATCCTTGCGGTGTAAAATTAAGGTTATAGCATTAACATTAAATATACAAATGTGTGACATAATGTACAATGAATCGATAAATTTGTGAGCTTATTTTTGTAAACGTGTTGGTATAATTTATTCATTGAAGAATTAACAAATGACTCGCCTCAACAAAATCCAGTAATTGCCATTGGTTATCAAACCTATCACGTGAAAGATTGAAACGAAAAAAAAAAAAAAAAAAGTGTACCTCTGTGTGCACCTCTACCCCCATCCCCATCTCAAAACAACACAACGGAAAAAGGGGCGAAAGGGTGAAAAGAGGAAAATCTCGAGGCATTTACGCTTTCGAGCGAAGCACGATAGGGGAAAGCTCGAAACTTTGACCACCGCAAAAAGGAAGGAGGAGGAGCTGCTGTCCGAAATTTCATGCCGTTTGCGGGGACAAACCGCAGCCTCTACCGTTGCACGCATCGTATAGAGAGCACTACTGGCGTCAGCTTGCAACTGATGCTGTTATACACACGTAGGTATGACGGACGCTCTGCTGCTATACTGTTGTACACGGATCCACGCTGCCAAATCATTATTCTGTTGTACCTATTACACGTGAGGTATTGGCTGCAAGAGCAGCTATAAAAAATAATATTTATCGCGTCTACGGATGCATCGAAAAAATACAAAGAAGAAAACCCACCCTTTGGAAACACACGAAAAATAGATTAAAAGAGCCACTGTCGTCGATTTTTTGTTTGTATGCACCAGTACATATAGTAAAGACGAAATTCCGCAAAAAATCGTGTGTTAAAGCAGCCATTAACTTGAATACACATATACAGTAATTGACTAAAAAAAAAAAAAAAAAAAAAAAAAAAAAATTCCCAACGGGCCTGTAAGATTGATCACACTCCGTGGGAGGAGGAACACGTCCTTAAACAACAAAATCGTCCTTTCCCACCCTTACACATACCGAATAATCTTCGAACCCTCACGTACCACGCCCCGTTCTCTCCCCCAGAGCACTTGGGCCGCGAAACGAAAACCAATTACCTTTCACCCCCACCCCCCCTTCGATAGGTCCCGTCACGTCCGAGAACAACTTCCGGCGTACTTTCGCTCCTTCCTGCGCGTGACTCGACCAACTGCGCGTTCCAACTGGATCCGGGAAAACTTTTTCGAGTCGATGGACTCGCCGAAGCCCTGCCTCTGTCTCTTTTGGATGAAAAAAATTTATCCTCACCCCCAAAAAACACCCGCACTACGTTTCGCTTTGCTATGAATATACACGCGCGGGAAAAAAAATAAGCAAACCCCATTTTTGGTTTTTTCCCATTTTCGTTTTAGCCGAATACATAAGTTGGGGTCAAAGGAACTTTTCTCTCGGAATTTTCCGGGGTGCGCGAGAAAAATCCCGATTTCGGGACCATGGGAAGCAAAGCGAGTTTTTCACGCTGGAGAGGCTGTTAGTAATTTCACCCTCTTTGTGTATTTCACTCTCTTCAACATTTGTAACATTTACTCTCGGATGCTCGAGTAAACTATACAAACGAAGTAAAGAACTTTTCGTGACCACGCGAAGATTGTATAATTTTCCACACTTGGTAATACTATAAAAAAATCGTCCATTCGCTTATATACCATGCATTTATCATCGTGACTCTTTTTCTTTGTCGTCGCAATGAGCTTTTTGCTCAATGTTGAGCTGCAGTTTGCACGATTGTCCCAAAGTCCACTCTCACCGACCCCCTCCTATATAACGGCTTAAGTGACTGATTTACAAACCCAAACTCGTCCGCGTCTCATCTCTATTGTCACGAGCGAACAACAAACATCAGCGGCAATGGCGTTTTCCGACCGTACGACGTTTGTTTGTACCTCCGAACAAAAGCACCGGAGGGGGGAGACAATCCGAGAGAGAGAGAGAGAGAGAGAGGCGTGGACAAAAGGCCGCGACAAAGTTTGAAAACTCCTCGCGGAATAAATCGGAACGGCGAAATTGGAGTCGGCGCTCCAACGAGTGGTATTTATTATTATTTCGACGGAAGGCCAGAAGGGCTCGTGCAGTTGCGCGGAACAAGATTAGAGAGAGACATTATTATTTTCGCTACTACCGCACCTTTTCTCGTATATTTTGCCCGCTGAATTACGTTTGTTATGTACATATATATATATTAACGATTTTTAAGGTAATGGATTTTTTTCTTTTGTTGGTAAATTACGGTTCATAAATGTGAACGAGCACTGATCGTCATGTAGTTTCCAAGGCGTCTGACTCAACATTGATACGATCTACTTGCACGTTGAGTATTTTTTAGAGTTTTTCTGATATTTTCCAATGTTATACTTTATATAGTCCTTAAAAATGGTGAAAAATAGATGTCTGACCACAGACTGACTTGATCTACTAGTACGTATAATTTAAGTACCTTCCAAGCCACAGTTTATCCTACCGTTTGATAAAAATAAATTTAGACTGTAATATTGGAATATATTTTCAAGTATGTTTGACTTAATAGTGAGACAATCTACTTGTACATCAAATTATAACTTCCCTTACAATATCAATTTAGAACACGTTATTTTTTTCATATCGTTTTATATGTCTTTGCCAATTTAATATTGTGAACATCTACTTCTAAGTGTGTCTGACTTAATATTGATGTAATCTACTTGCACATCAAATTAGATTTTACTTCGAAATACCAGTTTTGAACAAGTTAGTTTTTTTTGTATCGTTTGGTAATACTTAGCCAATTCAGTATTGTAAGTATGTAGTTTAAAGTGTGTCTGACTTACTATTGATATAATCTACTTACACGTCAAATCAGATTTTGCCGTGAAATATCAGTTTTGAATAAGTAATAGTTTTTTTCACTGCTTACTTAGGCTTAGGAAACATTGTTTGCGTAGTAAAAGTGCGATCTCACAAATGTCTGACCTTATACGGATATGATCTACTTAGAGATAAAAGTTGCGTATTTTTTGAGCCGCAGATTTTTTTTTTCATTGTTTACTGTAGCATTATAGTTACAACGACATTGTCACTGTGTTTGTATAGAAAAACGTGGAAAAATTTCTCGTTACCTAAAGCCGACTCGCAAGCGATTTTTCCGAAAACCCTCAACAACAAAAGCTACCTCCATTCGGCTTGATCCGAAAATCGCAGACACAGCAGAAAACTGCACCAAAAAAATAAAGAAAGAAAGAAAAAAAAAAAAAAGAACCAGAGGACGAACGAGCCGGCACCTGCAATTCGTTCCAATGAGCTATCCTCTTCCCTCTGCAGCGCTAATCCCACTTCCAGAGGAGTTATAGGCGCTGATTCCTTCGCGTGGAACTTTTCGATTGGCCATTTTCCGGGGGACTCTTTGGCTCACTTTTTTTTTTCCTTCCTTTTATCTTCAACTGTTTCGAACAGTAATCGGGAGGACGAGCTATACTTTCTCTATAACAGCGAGGGACAAATCTTAAATACACGCACTTCGATCCGTATACACAATGTACGCGTAGTTGACAGATGTTCCCAAGTAATCCCCGGCGATCTCGTCTCAATCGCAGCTGCCGTAAAAAGCAACCAAATGTGAAAACGATACGAACGAGCTGTACGCGAATGACCATCGGTCACGCGAGTGTCGCAGCCTATACGTGTGGTAAAAAATAAAATAAAACGGAGGCTGACCGAGCCGGGATTACCAAGGGAGAGGAACTTATCCCGCAATTCGATCTCGCTGCTCGTAGCTTTTTTTTTTTTTTTTTTTTTTTTCTCTCTTGTGACATTGCTCGTGGTTCGGTGTAAAGGCGTTCGTTTAGATTTAAAGGTTTGAGCGCCCGTCGTAAAGTGTCTTTGTCGTCCCAAACAAATCGATGCGCTGTAAATCCAAGTTTAACAGTTAAAATCTCGTTTTTTTTTTTTTGTTTTTTTTTNCGTTCTCGGCCAACCGTCTCTCTACGTCTATCTATAGGATGGACTTTTATTGCCGAGTGTGCTATTCTGATTCGCAAGATTGATACGCCCAGGTGTGCACGTTTGTACAGTAGCATTTTTACATCGTAAGCAATTTAATTTATACATTTTTTTTTTTTTTACTTTATCCTCGTACTCCGTTTATTCGTGTACTCTTGACAGCAATCGTTAAATTGTTTTTTTTTTTTTTTTTTTTTTTTTTTAAATTTTCTACAGTTGTGTTGACGAGGGTTTGAAGAACAACGACCTTTTATCCTCGACGGCTTTCTCATGTCAATCGTTAAAGCAAAACTGTTATTGTTTAGTTCTATTGGCTTCATATATTCGGCACGCATTGTTTTTTTTTTTTTTTTTTTTTTTGCAAATACATTGATTGACGTGCACGCACAGGTGTACTGTACATAAACTAACAAACAGATGAAAAAAAAAACGACCGAGTCAAACTTGCATGTATGTCACGCAATTATATTTGCGTACACGTGGACCACCCGATTGCACGTGTACACAGACGAATTACCACATACGTAAATATATATATATATAATATTAAAATATGTACTTGGAGAGGAAGACGATGGGTATTGGTGTACAAGTAACGAGGAAAATTATTGGAATTCAATAATGTACGTACGTATACGGAGATCGCGAATTTAAATGTCACGCCCTTTGCAAGTGGTTGGTGCAGTTTCGATTTCCACACATGTACACTGCAAATCGAATTGTGTTACTTCAACCCTCTTAAGTCTGTAATTTTCTATGTAACACTTTTTCATGAAGTATTAATCCTTTACTTACTTAAAAGGGTTTGTTTTAACATATTTTGTGTAAGTAATTTCCATACATGTGTATACTTATACGCAAATGGAGAAAAGAAAGAAAGTTAGACTCGTGTATCATCCGAGGGTCACCCGGAATCGTCGAAATGAAAGCTTCCGCAAGTATTGCACCTCGCCGCACTTTATACACACACGGAGAGGGAGAGTTAATGATACCAGCTGCAGCTTCAAAGTCAATTTTCCGAGCTAAAAGCAGTACAGGTATACGCCGAGTCGTGATTGAAGGTCGGGTGAAGACACCCCCCACCCCCCCACCCGGGCGATGGGTGTACCGACTCTCTCGAGCTTATTATTACCTCCTCTCAAATGAGCCACTGCTGCCGTCGTGGATGCTCTCCCTTGCTCTTGGCTTATCGCGAACTTCCCTCCCTCTTGAGCGCCCTTTGTGCTTGATTTCTTGCGACTGTGTTTGCTCATCGACACACACATGCAACGCATAGCGGAAGTGGTTCTCTGGACGTGCAGTACGTGTTTGTTCTCCCAGGGGGGGGGGGAAATGTGTGTCGTTTTACAGATACTTACTGTACACTATGTTCCCTTTATTCGTATAGGTGGGGGGTGTACTTTGGGATTTCGGAGAGTTTGTTTGCTAAAATCAACTGATTGGTATTGTGATGGAGTTGACGACAGTGAGAGTATTGTTGGATGTTTCACTTTAATTCCCCATGTGAATTTTCTTAAGGTGTCAGATTGTGTGACGTATTTTTTGGAATCCTATGTATGATACGTTTTTTTTTTTTTTTCTGTTTGCGATACAGTTTTTTGTGGTCTCTTACCGTGAGAGTATGATTATACAAAAAAAGTGGTTTTTGGATTAATTTTTTTTCCTTTTTTTTTTTGTTTTTTGAATTTGAGCTTTTTTCAATCAATACATTAAATTTGCGATCAGCTACGTCTATGTATACATTTTTTTAATTATGCCGCCACCCATTTTTTTTACGTGTCCCATATTTTAGGGTCCATACGTCATAAGACAAACATAAACATCAGCGGCAATGGCGTTTTCCGACCGTACGACGTTTGTTTGTACCTCCGAACAAAAGCACCGGAGGGGGGAGACAATCCNTTTTTTTTTTTGTTTTTTTTTGAGTTTGAGACTTTCAAAGTCACAACCACCAACAATTCAAGGGGTTTCTCGCCCAAGTGAACACCTGTGTGTGCTGTTTGACACGTAGCTGTGGCAAATGTCTTTCCACATGCATCGCAAAGATGGCAGCTTTTGCCATTACTGCTCTTCTGGCTTAACTTTTGTTTATGGTCCGTGGACATGTTGTAATATAATTCGCCTCTGAACTCCTTGACTCAAACGAGGGATAAATCCTTCGAGTGATCAATTGGTTATTCTGAATAAGTGATTAAATTGTCTTTTCTAACCTCAAATAGTTTCCCTTACAAGAAATATCAGCATTGAAATCAGAGTCCTCAATTAAACTAATGATTTCACGTTAATTCTATGTTGAATCAATGCTGATGCAGCGTTGGTTCAGCGGTTATTTAAAACAATAACAATATTTAACTAGAGCGGTCGTAGTTGGCCAAGGTGCATGTCTACTTGGGCGCGCGGGTTCGAGTCCCGGTCGGTGCATCTGTTGGGAAAGTTTTTTATATCACACTAAGCGTAAAGTTCGTACTGTTCTCCCTGTATACAGGGACAGAAACTGTGTAATAAGTGCGTGTACGCATGCGTATCTATATCTTACTGTATATTACTATATACATAAACCAATAAGTGCCTGAAGTAGTTCGGTGCTCGAACATAGCGAGGGCGCCACACTGCAGTAAACAAACGAATTTGGGAAATATCAACAAGATAAAAGAAGCCAATGTACTGTTTGCTGGTGTATTTTATACAAAAAAAAACATGAGATTCTGAACAAATGGAAATAATTAAAATTGTTATACAATTTTCTTTGTTCACACATTTTTAAATAATAACTGCATTTTTACAGTTCTTCATTTTTATCAATCTTGTATAATAAACTATTGAAATTATTACATTTCGAAACACATTCATTAAAAGAGTTAAATAATTAGGTCCTTGTTCTTATGCTTCCATTGTAAGAATCGAGCGTATGCATATTCATA